TGATAAAACCATGATACACCCATGATGATCAATAATAATAAACCATCAAGTGTTCAGTTATGAGGCGCAGTGAACACCACGGACGATAAAATAGCTCGAAGCAAAGGGACCTTGAGGTAGTGTTGTACTGTTGAGTGTGTTCACACACTGTTAAGGAATATGTCTCCTCAAGTCATTTACCACGCCGTTGAAGCACCTCTTTAACCAGTTTGTGCAACGCTGTCCCACCGTGCGAACGCACCGCAGGTGTTGGCGCGGTGCGAAGCAGGTCATGTCGCCTCTGCACATTGATGTCACGTTCCCCCCAGCGTGCGCGCTGGCGTCACTCTCTTCCTCTGCTGCCGCGCGCACGCCGTGACGCCCGCAGTTGTCGTTGCGTTCATTAGCCCGCAACACCTGCTGCGTCCACCGACTTGTTGGTTCAAGCGCAATAAACCTGACGCACACCTAACGTACGCGTTAAAACAAGTCTGTATGGGTCCCCAACAAGACCTACGCTAGCCATCGCTTCAAACTAATCTTCCAGCGCTCACCGCTACACCGAAGTTAGTGCTGCTCAACGTTCAACCCGTCATGCCATCGTGCAGAACGACATTGCTCCGCATCCTATTAGGGTTCCCTTCGAGGAGATAGTAGAAGTTTTCCTTAGGGGTGCCTTAGTGTAACCTTGTCTTGCGTCACGCGTAACTGAGAGATTAAGAGACGAAAAACAAAAGAAGACAGTATCTCTCGAACAGTATATTAGGCAGCGCTGTCTTATAGAAGTACATACAAACTGCAGTTAATTGAGGATTTTTTAGATGGCACTGCACCTTTACTCTCCAATTGGCTGCTGCCCGGCCTGTGTCTGCGTACACGTAGAACAAGTACCTTTCTCAGTGTACGGGATAGTTGCCGTAAGTGGCGGATCGTTGGTGGGGCATGGATGAAGCTCAGCGGCGGGTGCGTTGAAGACGCTTGCGCTCGGCTTCCTCGGCTCGCGTCTTGACGGTGTTACCGGCATGCCGTCTGCATTGTCGAACGCGATCAGACGCATGGACGCATGCACGAACGGGGAACGGGGAGACACTCGGACGGATGGATGGACGGACGCTTCGCCCCACTCATCATCATTAACTCCGTAGATATGCTGGGATTTTATCTATCACGACTGACGTCTCTACAAAAGGTACACAAGGGGTCAACCACTCTTAACAATTGAATCAGGATCAAGGTTAACCATGATCAGCAGTGCACCATGAAACACTCTTCTTACAAAAATACAATTACTTCAGAGGGCCTATTAATTTCTTGAAGAAATTTTTTATATACTTATTATTTCATGAAAACTAAGTCTACTGACAATTGGTAAAAAGTTGGTAACATTCGCGTTACTTTTCTTAGATACAATTTATAGAATGCAAATAATCAGAGAACGTAAGACGGCTAAATGTGTTTTTATGTGTCATCTAATGTAGGCTATACAGAAACCGAAATTCGCATATTCAGCGTAAACGTACACTATGAATTTTCTCTGAAGAAAAAAATACCATGTTTGTTTCATTTGTTTAAGCCTTGTTTAGAGAAGGTCTATGAGCAAACCTAATACGTATTGGTTTATTTTATTTGTTTTATCCTGGACTGTCAGTACACTTATTTGATTATCTGTTATTCCATTTTATTATCTATTGTATAGACGGTCTAAAACGAAAGTTCAGGTAGAATGATTTTTCTTTGTTGTCATTTATAGGATTTTAATTGAAATTTTACCTAGCATGTGTGCATTCTACGCTGACATTTCATTTACCTTCCACTAATCACTCCTTGCTCAACGACCCATCGGGCCCTGTACTTCAGATAGCATACATACAAACTATGGAAGCTACTTCATTGGACTCAAGCCCGATATACCTAGTTGGGATCGAGGTGTGGTTGAAAGCTTCGCTGGAAGTCTGTATGGTGTGCGCGTCTTTGCGTTTCATTGGTATGGACCACTGAACCATTCTTAGCGCCGGGAACGACAACTGACGTCACTGCGGTAGTGATGATGGCACGTCCCGGCGAAGACTGACCTACTCCGCCGCCGCTTGACGGCTTTTCTTTGTCCACCGTGTAACCGCTCTTTTGCAATATGGTGGTGACAAGTCCTTTAATCCGAGACGCCAACCTCTCAAGGAACAAGGTAGAAAGTTTCACAGCTAGTGAAAGTTATTCAAGGAGCAAAGAGTTGTCGTAATTAAGCTTAGTATGGGCTGACGACCCTCTTAACAAAACCACTGCAGTAAAAACAGTGATGCAGGTCCGCCAGACCTCGTTGTTTTCACCCCTTGCATTGAGAAATCAGTGTTAGAACATGAGAACAACTAGGCATACACTTCTTATTTAACATATGTGAGTTGAAGTATGACAAAGGAAATTCGGATGCTTTGAATTCACTGAATATATATCGCAGTTTGGAGTGCAAGTTACGCCTGCACATGGAAACAATCAAAAAGACTTGACAGAATTGAGCTATCTGCAAATGGCACTTTCCTTGAATCTGTTTTTGATAGGCAGTCACTTTCAATATTGGGAAAGTAAAATGAAATATTACTGCCACACACACAATTCCGAAAATATTGATATATGCGTTCACTCGAAGCATAAGCACTGATTTCTTCTCAATCGTCACCAGGAGTTACACAGTCGTATACCCCTGATTCGTCTGAAATGCTGCCCCGATCTACTACCACGTCACAAATGGTATTGTTCACTTCACGTGGGAGCACCGCTGAGAGTGACCATTCCCTAATTCAACGCGAGAAATTCGTGATGGTGCACTCAGAAAAACATGACCAAGTAATACTTATCAGTTGTCTCAACGAGGCGATGACTGGTTTTACACCTCATGTCTACCTACAGGTAATTTTTGCGAACAAAATAATTTGCGAGGTGGCTATCTAAACTGGTATTTAAATGCACGTCAGAACCGTTGCTACCATGCTGCACGAAGACAGAATCAGACATCAATGGTGAAGAATTTGGGAAGTTAGCTTCAACTGAAATTCGTTTAAATAACTTCAGTAAATTAAAGCACAAAAAAGTAGAGAGGCATGAAACCAAACAACGCGGATAGTGAGCAAGTACACGAGGGAAACAGACACAACAGCTGCGGCGGTAGTTCGAAGGGCAAGCGCATCGCAGATATCTTGCGAGACTTCCCAAAGCACGTGAGGGTTGTGCTTGACACACCAGTAAAGGTGCTTTCCGTACATACATGAATAACTTCGAAATAAATAATACTGACGGAGAGGAAGTCCGCTTATCTCCTAAAAGAATCGCCCATGAACAACTGAAATTAACAATGTAACATCGTGTCTTGCATCTCAAATTCACGACATCATCATGCGGTAGTAAGTTTGCTGTTTCTAAGCAGGAGCCTCTTCTCGCTTTTCAAACCCAGAATGCAGCTGCTTTTAGCAGTAATAAAACGTATAATAGGAGTCATCAGTACGACACACACCTGCACACCTCTTTCATATTCGGCTATATACGACCAAGCGGGAGCACCTTTGGCAATTGCACATAACCAAAAGTAAACTTCTTATAGTTTTATCAGGAAAATAATCGATTCTGGTTTCGTCATTCACCCATAGCTTGAAGCAAGCAAAAAGCAAGCGCAAACAGCGGAACAGCACATGAAGCGAACGCGCATTGTTATGTAGGCGTGTGCAAGCGGGAATCGAAGAGTTCGTGCCGTGACGTCACCCAGGCCTCCCTTCAGGTGGCACCACCCTAACTTCCCGGGGCCAATTGAAGCTTCCGCGGAGATTATTAGTGTGTGTAGGCTTATGCACGTGGCCAGAAAAGGAAGAAGGTTGCGGTCCCCTCTATTTGATTAAGAGGAAGAAGGGGTTTTCGTAAAGTTATCTTGGTTGATGAAGTTCTGTACATTGCTATTGTCGGGAACCCGGAATGGTCCGTTTTCAAACACATCTAAACTTGAAATTGAGAATCTTGCTTTGCTATCTATTTGATTTCGCTTATGCATTTGCATGCGTCATGCACTTGGTATTGCTATTTCCTAACAACTTTTAAAATATTTGTTCACTCAGTAAATCTGAGCTAAAGATATAGCTTATTTCTTTGATCCAACCTGAAGAGCAGTGTTGCATTGATATGTTTGGGCTAATAACTTGCCTATTTGACAATGGGCGAAGCCTTTTTCCTGCAGGGATTTCTCACAATTTGAATTACACTCATCACTCATTCTTTCACTAACAACAATATTTCGTGAGAACAGCTAGGCATCATAGCATCAGTGACATCAACATTATCAGCAAAAGCACAATACATAAAACTCCAAATTCAGCTGCGAGAATTTAGACCGGCCTAAACTGACCTACAAAAAAAGTCATGAGCATTGTGAACTTGTCGACAGAACATTAAGCTTGATTATCATAAGGTCATTTGGTCTGAAAACAATTACATTTGTTGCAGGCCTGTTATTTCGTGCTTTCTTCAAGTATTGAGTGCATAAACTGGTTAGATGTGTTATTATCAATTCCTGGAAAATAATCGATCGTAATAATTTAATTTTGCTTATACGGGAGCAACTATAAACTAATAATGCAAGCAATGATACCTTACCTTGCTGATGCGCTTGTAACTGGTTATTCCTGATGGATTTTCCCAGTCATATATGCTTCCTCGCTGCAAACCTGTACGCCCAGAGTCCTGCATGTAGGCCAGTTCAGCCAGAGTGAGGAAGTCGGCGAATAACACGACGCGAGGCGTTTGGGACAACACTTCCACCTTGAGTGGTGCAAGTATTAACCGCGGGTCTCCATCGCCAGTCCACAAGACGCAAGTGAGTTCAGCCTGAGTCGCTCTAAAATCACCTTTTTCTACGCACACCGACTTGTATTCGTCCACGTCAGTCTCCGGCGGGGCAGGATACAGGTGCTGGTACTTCGATTTCAAGGCCGCGCGCTTAGCGTCGTTGACCTGAAGCCACGAAAGCCCCAACTCAACTTTACGAAGGCTACCCTGCGTGTACCGTGCCCGAGTGAGTGCTTGTTCAGACCAGGCTGTTGTGTTGCCGTGCATCGCTTTTGCGTAGCAGCCTCTTGCGACTAGAATGAAGTCTTGCGGCAAAAGAGGTTGTAACCGACGATCAATCATGGCCACTATCCGTGCGACTGAGACCTCGTAGACTCGCTGTAGTTTGCATAGGCCATCGGTGACTCCCCTGACGTCGCTGTCAGCCGGCCACCACTTACGCGAAGAAGGTGCTGCGAAGGCCGAAAACAGTGACTCCAAAGACGCGTCACCAGACGCTGTCACAGTAAGGTCTGAATACAGATCGTGCAGGCGAGAAGCGTAGATGAACTTACTCAAAGCCGTGTCGGAGCCGATGCGAGGGTGATTAATGAAACGCATCCGGTGATGCGCGGCGGCTTGGTCCAAGCGGGTCTCTTCAAGAGACAAGAAGAAACGGGCGTCTTCCAAGTTGAGAGCCTCGGTAGTCATCGACTCTAGCATGTCGTGGGTAGACGTGAACAAGTCAGAAATGCATGGTTGTGGATAAAATAGCCAGCAAACTGAAATCACCCAACACCACGCAGCAGGCATTCTTCTTCTTCATTGGCTTCGAATTTTCTTCATTCGCACAATTTTTCAAGCTAGGGCTTTCGAAAGCACACAAAAAAAGACATTAGGAATTTAACGACTGACGTGAGTAATTTCGAGAGCGATACTCTGATAGAGAAAGAGAAACTTCCATCTCGATAGAGGAGAAGTGAGCTTGCACGTAGAAAGGAACCCTCACTTTGTTAAGGAAAACATTGAGGCAGGGGGCGCCTGCGTTCCCTTACATCTTACGCGCGTTCGCGTAGGATGTGTATATAAAAACACTTATTTTAGCCACAATCATTTAAATACCGGAATCACGGAAATATTACGGCACCCTTGTAAAAGAATCGGAATACAGCATTTCCTCAGACTTTCGGAGGTTGCCCCCTTGGCCTGTGGTCTTTCGGCGGGAAACCAGACTGATAAGCCACATGTTCACGCTCAAGGAATTCTGCGCTGCCAACGCAGCCAGAATAAAAGCCTTGATAGCAAAAAAAACGCCTTCCATGACAATGGCAAAGCACAGAACGCGATAGCACGAAATCATATTGTTATAGAAGCTAAGGCTTGCAGCTAACTCTAGCAGATGCAGTCTCGCATAACTCTACCAAACACTGTTGTAAGAAAGGTGGGCTGCTCCTGCCATCGAGAGAGGGATACAAAACGTTATCGTAGTACTCGCTGGCGTCAAAGGAGCAGTGACATCAACATTGCGCATGCTGAATTTTATTTAACGTTAATGCGTAGTTATCGATCCCCTAGTAACGATTCCGCACCAATAATGCAACAGGTAGACAAAATATTTTATGTATTATTAATTAATATTGCCGCATGTTGTTAGGCAACTACTTAACTCTTGCGCCGCTTCCTGCTCTTATGAATTTTGCTAGACCAACTGACAAGCCAAACGCGCCAAGCTAAACGCGCCATGCAACGCTAGCTGCACGTGTCACCACACCACGCGCTGGAAAAAGAAGGCTCGCAGTTCTTCGAAGGAGCGGCACGCGGCGAGACGCAAAAGAAGAGGTTTACGAGGTTTTAGGGTGAAGCTCCTTAAAGGGGCACCCCGTTCGTCCCTCGTAGTCGTAGCCGTAGTGTGTAACAAGTGCTACATTTTGACCTGCAAGTTGGTGCCGGTGGGAGATTTCTCCTGTGCTTTGTTGAACAATAAAAGTTCGCTGCTGCTGCTGCTGCTGAAAAACATTTATTTACAGATGTTATTTACAGGGAGGATGGAAACGGTCCTGAAGGGGCCACCCCGTACAAACACTAGGTGAGCTCCCTCTTACGGGAGCCCATTGGCGTTGGCCGCGGCCCGGGCACGCTCGAGCAGGGCCCGTTGGGCCGTCAGGTCAGAGCAGCCGAGCAGGGCTGCCTCCCAGTCCTCCCGCGAAGGATTGGGTAGTGGGGTAAGGTTTGGGGTTTTTTTGGCATGCCCACACCACGTGGAAAATGTCAGAGGAATTTTCCTCACAATGCGGGCACTTCCCCGTGCATGCGGGGTCAAAGTGTTTTATGATTGCCGGGTCCAATAGAGTTTTAGTATAAAGGCGAAGGAGGATTCGCTCCTCCGCCTTCGTGAGGCCCTTACAGGGTTTTGGATAAACGTTATGGCCGGATTGATAGAATTGTGTGACCTCCTTAAAGGTGTAGGCGGGATTGGGTTCGAGTTCCGGATCGGTAGGGGACGAGGATGGTGCCCGGAGAGTGAGCGCGCGGGCGGCGCCATCGGCCGTCTTATTACCATCGAGGCCTGTGTGAGCCGAAGCCCATATGATCGTTCGGTGCGCGGGGGCACCTAGGTAGCTGCTGTTCTGCAAAATTTTATAAGCAAGGTTCAATATTGCGACAGGCTGTTCAATATTGCGAAGGCACCCCTTGAGTCGGTGATGATGACCCTCGAGTCCTGATCTGCAGCAGCTAGTGCGATTGCAATCTCCTCCGCGCGCGTAATGTTATGTGCACGGAATGTGAGTCCGTTCACAACGGTGTTTTGGTGGACGACCGCAGCCGTGTGCCAACCACCGTGGTGGGGGCCGGAGGCGTCCACGTAGAATACTCCGAATTTGTGGCCGTAGTGTCGAGCCAAGGCTTCCGCCCGCGCGAGGCGTCGGCCACTGTAGTTGTCTCGGGTCAGGTTAGCCGGAAGAGGGCGCATGTGCAAGGAGTATCGCCAAACTTCTGGAATCTGTACGCGCTCTTCCGTGTGTATTGAATCATTGATGTGTAGCCGGGCAAGGAGGCGGCGACCCGACGGTGTTTTAGAGAGTCTAGTATATTGGTTTGTCAAGTGCGCCTCTCTCAGCTCTGTACTCGGCTTCATACCTCCACCTACGCAAATCCGACGAGAATGCACTCGAAGTCATTCTCCGCAAAATCTACAAGCGCGCCATCGACCTTCCTGTCAGCACCTCTAACCAGCGCCATTTGGGCTTGGGAATTGTGAACACCTTCAAGGAGCTGAGAGAGGCGCACTTGACAAAAAGTTCGCGGCGTGCGCGTTAACTAAAAGCCGAATGCTCTTGTCTCTCATTCCCCATCAGCAGCCATTGATTTGTTCCAGTAGGAAACGTTAGTAGAAGTAGAAGTGTTAAAAGCCGACTTCTGCTGTCTCTCATTCCCAGTAGCAGCCAATGCTTACCTCTAAGGTAGTGCCTGGTGAGATTTGTCCTGTGCGGGATTAAACAATAAAAAAGTTTGTTCAAAACGCCGTTTAATAATGAAATAAACCAACGAAAGATGCCCCATGTTTTCTAAAAGCAAAACGAAAAGACGCCAGATGTTTCAAAAGAAAAACAAAAAGGATGCGGCGCTGAAGGCGTTCCTGCCATTTCACCCAAGGCTCCCTTCAGTGGTCCGATGTAATATCGTCGCATATACTGCGTGTTGTGGGCCTCCACATGGACAAATTCGTTGGAAGGCGAATCTAGCAATGTTGAAAAAGGAGCGGTGATAACACTGCCTCCATGTGGGGTACCCGTGTTCCAAACCGTTCGTCCCCCGTTGCCGTTGTAGGAGTGTGTAACAAGTATGACATTTTGACCTCAAAGGTAGTGCCAGTGAGAGATTTATCTTCTGTGCGTTGTTGAACAATAAAAGATAGTGCTCAATGTACATGCCAATGACTGCTAATGGGGAATGAGAGACAGGAGAATTCGGCTTTTAGTTAACGCGCACGCTGCGAATTTTTGTTGTTCAACAACGCACAGAAGACAGAAAATGCTTGCTACGTTATACTCGCTGGGCGTAACTTCCTGTGTTTCAGAAAGGTTTAGCGAGCGTTGGGCCGCAGTGCCATGAATACAGTGAACTAGTATATACCATGAACTCGACGTGGGTAAAGGTGGGAAGTAGATACAAAGCGCGAGCCGTAAGACTGTGTGCGTGTGCCTCATATCATTCAGTCCTTGGAATGTCGGCTGGATGGCGGTGCTTCTACATGAAGAATATATGATGAAAAGATGCGAGATGGTGGTACGTTGAGCGTTGAATAGGTGGATGAACAAACCACACAGACAGATGCATGGATGGACGCACAGATGGCTGCACGGAAGGATGGACGCATGGACGGACTCAGGAGCGGATGCATGGGCGAAAGCAAGGACGCACGCACAGATGAACGTGCGGATGCACGGACGGGCGGATGGATGCACAGGTGGCCACACAGACGCACACATGGATGGACGGAAGCAAGAACGAATGGCCGGCCGGATGCTTCGCCCCACCATCCATCATGCACTACGTGGATATGCTGCCAATATTTTTTCCCTAGCGAGATAAGGACAACCTTTGTGTATTTAGTTGACGGGCTCAAGTTCGCCATAAATAAATAGCTGTTTTTGCTTCCGGCGTTGTATTTGTTCGTTACAATATGATCAATATGGATCCCTATTCAAAGTGGGAGCAAAGTCCACCAAGTTTTAGTGCCGCCAAGCGGCCACCTCCCGCGGTCTCGCCCCATCTGATCACTCGGCCACACGAAACGGTGACGCTGTTTTTCTGTTGACATTTCGCCTGCTCAGAGCGCACGAGTATAGTCATGTTGTCGCCACCCTCAACAGCATCCACAAGCGACGCTGAAAAAATTCAGAATATGGGATCGTGGTGAATTGCAGCGTGGTGAATCATTTTCGGTTTGATACTCTTCTGAGCAGCCACTCTGAAATTTCCGCTGGGCTTATCAGTGAAAAGGCAGCTGGAGACGCCCGCATGAGCCACGCTCACTGGTGATATATGTGGACGCTGCGTGCGTGTTACTTCTTTAACATGACCAAAGCTTCAAATACCTGATCGAACTCGCGCTGCGACTGCACGACAAATCACTCGCAGTGGCCCAACAAAAACGCAGGATTCACGTGAACGCGTTGCATTAACCAAACAAAATAAAGCAGCGATTCCATTGCCAGGCAGCCAGGAGTCGTTGCATGACGATACCACACTGTAGAAAAAACTACTCCGAGGTGGGAGGAAAATCCTTGTCCTCTAGTCCCCCCATACTCGGAAGAAGTTTCGCTCCGACCCTCCAGAGCAAAGTGTGTACTATGACTGGCTGAAGCAATCGCATAGCCCATCCCGAGCACTTTTCACCGATGTTTCACTCCGGCCAGCCGGAGCAATCACGTGGCTACGCCGGAACATTTCCTACCGGCCTTTCACTCCAGCTTGCCGAAGTGATTACGTGGCACCTCCGGTGTATTTGTCGCAGGTTTTTCAATACGGCTATCCGGAGCTTCTGCCTGGCACCTCCGGAGTATTCTAGAAATGTCCTTACTTCATTCGAATCAAATTTCAGGGGGGTGCACAGCAACTTTAAGTGTTTGTTCCTCTATTAATTTATTCTATACTGATTGTGTCACGCGTTCGGTTATACAAGGGAAATCTCATATCTAGTGCAAGCACTGTAGAGTTAC